TGATGGGGCACCAAAGAGGTAGAGTCTAGGTAAAATGCTACTTCGAGCAATCGGGAGCTAGTTATAAGGACTGAGGACCAAGAGTTCTAGTTTAACTCAACTCTAAACTTCTGGGACTTGATGACGAGGTTGAGCTAATCAATCTAGAGTTCGGGTTCCTTTGGGACACATCTCCCTACCATTATAAACTATGAAGCACGGATACGGATACGGGATACGGATACGATACGATACGGGTACGAAAATACGACAAAAAAAAATAGGATACGGGTACGGCTAGAATACGTCTATAAAATATATATTTTTTTAAAATTTTATTATTATATTTAATGTAATAATTATGATTTATAAAGTAAATCACACTTCTATCAAATATATATAATAATAACTAACCATCAGAGTCAGTCGATCGTCAGTGTGAGTGAGTGAGAGAGAGAGAGAGAGACGATCTTCGTCGAGTATCGACTAAAGGGAGTGGGGGGCTTGACGGGCAGTGGAAGAAAAGTGTACAGGTTTTAGTCTTTTAGACTTTTAGTTTAATATTTTTTTTTTTTGCAAATAAGGGGCCTAAATATATTGCTCTTGTACCCCTATACTTTTTTAAAATTCGAGTAATACCCCGCCGTATCCTTATGCGTATCCTAGGCGTATCCCACGCGTATCCAAAACGTATCCAAAAACTAATTTTTTTTTTTTAATTTTAGGATACTTCTCAGACGTATCCGGTACGTATCCGACGCGTATCTGTATCCAAAAGTATCCGATACGGATACTTTGACCCTTTTGTAAGTATCCGTGTTTCATAGATTATAAATCAAGGCCCCAAGTACCAGTTAAGACATTCAATCTCATCATATTCACTCAATACTTCTCTTTGACTTGTGATCTGACTTAAGTACCAGAGTCTCTTTGATTGTCTCTGGCTATCGGTTCACCTAAGTGTTCTCTTGTCTTACAGATTCCACGAAACTTTTTCACCACCCCATTCTTCCATACGACGTGGTTAGTCTTTGTGTGAAATTATTCTCGCACAACATCCATTACCCCACCACCACCCCATTCTCCTTCACCTCAGCCACAAGCCAACCAAATTAGCAACTAGCATTTGTTACCCAACCATTACCCCTTCCTTTTCCATTGTTGTCTATAAGCCACCACCACCTATACTACCACACGCCTGCAACACACCACTGTCGCCTCCCACAAGACACTATAAAAATCGAACATCAAGTACCCATAAACATTTCACAGAGAAAAGCGTAGAATTTTAGATATAGAGAAAGAAATAGAGGGTTAGATAGAATTTCACAATCAAAGTCAAAACACCCAAACCAATTCATACCTAATTATTCTTCAATTCAGCTTTGGGTACATGAATCTGATTAATGAGACATTCTAGGTCAATGCAATGAATTGGAGCTTGATGGCAATGGAGACCTAGAAAAATGAGGAGGTGCATTTAGCTCAAACCCCCCACCCTCAGCATCAAGGCAAGCCCAACACCTTTATTGCCATGTGAGTGAGTGAGAGAGAGAGAGAGAGAGGGAGACAGAGATGTGTTGTTTTTTGTTTGTGTGAGGTCGAGGTCTAATTGAAGACTAGGCGGCATAGAGATAGAGAGACAAAAATAGGGGGCTTGTGTTGTTTTGTGTTGGGCTTCTGTGTCTCCGTTTGTGAGTTTGTGTTGTATTCGTGTACTGTGTGGCTGCAAGGACTCGAGAGACAAAGAGAGGTTTAGAAGGAGAGAAGGGCTAAGAGATGAATTTGGAGAGAGATATGGAAAGAGAGACGCATGTATCACCAAATTTACGTTTGGATTGAAAATTCAATCATGGGTTCTCAACCCCCGGTTTGTAGCTAACCCGAATATTAAACTCATAATCATAGGTTCCGTCAAACTTAGAAGGGGTGTGTTTGAGGAAATGAGTTAAAGGATTAAGGATGCAAAAAATAATTGTATCCCTTAACATTGGGTATGAATTTGACTGATCAATAACAAAATAGTCATTTAAATGATAAATAGTTATTAATAATTATGATATATTTGTAGGTCTTACATATGTATGTATTGCATACCAAACATGAGTATGGATCGAATTCAATGTTGAATATTATCTTTGTAAAAAGAGATTTGGGTTTGAAAAGGTTTGGGGAACTCAATTCAAACCCTCCCAAAAATCTATCCAAACAAGCCTAGAGAGATAAATAATTGTGGGTTTGAGGTATACAACTGAGCATGGGTAGAAATAGAGAGAAGTGCAAAGAATATGTGAGAGGGGACAAAAAAAGAAAAGGAAGAAGAAGATGCATGTTTGGATGTGAGTTTAATATAGCCCGATAGCAAATAATAATGTTTGGATGCATTACTTATTATAAAGTGCAAAAAATGACCCTTAAAATCTACACGTGACCGGCACATGGTATTTTTTGTTAATTTTTATAATGTTAGTTGGTGCTAAGAACTAGATTGACTCAATGTTTATACTTTGGGGATGAAATTGATGAAATTAAAACTTTAAGGACCAAAGTGTGACGAGTGACAAACCTGAGGGACTATTTGTGTAATTTATACTATTTTTATTTACTTTCTCTTTCTTCGTTCTACATCTTTTTTTTTTCTTTCAACACTAGCTGTACTGGATAATCATCACATATAAGAATTATAGGCATTAGAAGTGACCACGGCACAAGCTCATTCTCTATATAATTTACATCATAAAGTCAAAAGCTATGTAAATCACTAGCTGGTTAAAATTTTATTAGAAGCAAGAAGGAAGAAAAAAAAAAAAAGAAATCATAATACTTATCAAACCTATACATGCCTAGCTGTAGCACAAGTTGGAAATAGAAGATTAGGATGGACAAGGTATTTACATATGACAGAAAACATGTAACTTTTTTTTTTTATCTAATTGATGTATACCTACGTTGCAGTGAATAATTTCAAATTATCTTTGTTTAGTAGCATAGAGTTCTCATCATTTATGCACAACATACAATGTGAACTTGTAGAGGGACAAGTGCATGTAATTTCAAATTATTCTTTTTCCTCTTCCCTTCCCACTCTAATGTGATCTAAGGAGTGAAACATATAAACCCTTCCCACTCTATATTTCAATTACTATTGTTCACATGAAAGTTAATTTTGTAAGAGCAATACCACTTAAACCTAATTTATTAGGCAAATTGTTGACCAAATCATTAATTTATTAAGCAAATTGCGACTTGCAGTCAATCCAATGATTGTAAAAAACTAAATCGTTAATTTTTGTAAAGTTCTATTTCCCCTATTTTTCTTTTTCTTTTTCTTTTTCTTTGTCATTTTTTTTTATTAATAAACAAACTGATTATTTATTGATAGGAAAATATGGCACTTAGAAGAAAGGGAAAAGCAGAAACACCCATTACAAAAAACACAGCCTCCTTACATCTTATCTTTCAACCATCTGAATTAGATTCAAGCATAAAAAACAACACAACACTTGCTACTTTTTACAAGATAAAACAAAGCAGTACATCACACATTGCTAGCCCAGGATTTTCCACCATCTACTCTCAGAAAGACAGTTTATTATTATTATTATTATTATTAGTGATACTGCGTCACCGCTTTAATATGTAAGGACTATGGTCTCCCTGATCAGGCTTCCAACCAAGTTTGAATTCTTGTTCAAACACCTTTCGATTAAACACGATTCTGGGTTCCACAGGCTGTTCTAGCTGAGTAACACACAGTACTGACCTTTTCACCGAAGAGAAATACTCTTTTATTGAATTCTCCGTCATCAAACGACTCGGAGTTGCTAGTACTCGCAACATGATCGCGATCTCTCCAAGGACCGGACCTCTGTCCAGACACACATACAATTCCGACGAGGGGAACCTAGTATTCGGTTTGAACGAGAATTGAGACTCCAACAAATCCAACAACTTGGCTCTGGCTGAACCAGTATGCAAATCATCAAACGACACAGAACCCAATTCCCCCAACACTGAAAGGAACGATTCAAGTTTCGCAAATCTCAACATGTTAACACAATTGAAATTTAATCTGGGATAGTATCCATAGTTTGTCGAACCATCATCGACTATGTTCATCAAAATCGAACCCTGATCAGAGTAATCCATGACCAAACAAGCAAGACTTTTTTTATCTAGGAACCCTAATTCAAAATCCTTACCAGTAACAGTAACAGCTCCTCTCCCAAACCTGTCACAGCCTCAAAGATCGCCTTCTTTGACGCTCGATTGATACCACTGAGCTTCTTGGTCTAAAAGAACCAGTCAATCGTCTTCCTAACCAGCTTCATTTCCTCCTTACCGGCTGATCGTCGACGAAATCGATGATTCGCTTGCCTCGGCGATCTAAGGTTCTGAGAAGCTCGCCGGTGGGTTCACAGACTTTTAGGGCTACTAATTGGACATTGAAGAAGCCATGGACATCGAAGAGTCCAAAAATCTACAGAAAAAAGTGGAAAATGGGTTGTCTACAACGGGAGCGAAAGGGGGGCTAAAAAGGAGAGAGGAGTGAAGGGTGAAGATGATGATTCTGACGATGAGGATCGAAGCAAAGAGAAGATAAAGAGTAAAGAAATCGGCAGACGAAGACTTGGAAAAAGGAAGTGTATTTTCACTTAGCCCTCCTATGGTGAGGTAAGTGATTGATGATAATTTTGAGGAAAAAAATATGAGTGGAATAAATTTAAATACACTTATGTTTTATTATATAGTTTAAATTGTTATCATATACTTATATTCTTAAATTTTCAAATTATCCCTAATATCTGTTTTAATTTTTTATTTATTATGCATAAATATCAGTATTTTTGAAATTTTTTAATTGACTATATTATTTTTAAAACATATATGCATCACTATAATTTTTAATAAAAGTTCAATTTTTTTATTTTAAATATCAATTTAATATTACTCATTTTAAATATAAAAATAACATTATTCTTGCATATGTGTATTTCTTTTATCCAAAATTTTAACCACTTAATTTTTAAGATAAAAAATAATATTTTACGTAGTTTTTTTAGAATAATTTATATTAAATCAACATAATTCTTCAATTAGAGTAAACTTTTCATATTTTATTAAGAGTTTATATATAAAAAAATTATATTATATTTTTAAGTAAAACTTGAATTTTATAATTTTAATATTCTTTTAAAATATATATTATAGAGTAATATATTATTTTTTAAGGTGAATAGTCATTTTAGTCTCTAAAATATGCATGTTTTGTTAGTTTGATCTTCATTGCATCAATTTTGTCAATTTGGTTCTTAAAGTACTTACTAATGTTTAAATGATTCATATATAGACAATTTGTTAAGTTTTTTTATAGAAGTGATCACATGATACTATTTTTATAGAAGTTATGTTCATCAAAAAACTTAATTGATCATCTGATTAGGGACCATTTAAACAAGAATTAAATATTTTAAGGATTAAATTAACAAAATTTATATATTGAGAATTAAACTGATAAAAAGCGCAAACTTTAGAGAACTAAAGTGTTATTAATCTTATATTTTATCCTTATTAACCTAAATAATTATATTAAGCATTAATTAAAATTTTAAAAATTATTTTTATTTTATTCAATGAATTATAAGTTGAAATATAATCAAATGAATTTCAAATAAATTATTTTTATCTTTTTCTTTTCATACTTAAAACAATAAATCGTTAGAAATAAACAATATTTTTGAATTCTATAATATAATACGAGCAATAAAAATATAATTTTGATAAACTTGAAATGATATTTAATGTAAGTACACATATACCTAATACTTTTTATTAATAATTTATATATGAAAATTATTCTCGTGCAGCACACGTGGTGCATTACTAGCTCTATAAAATATGTGCTAACTTTACAGTGTCTCACACACACACACAGACACAGAGATGTGGTAAGTTTGTAAATTTGTTGGATCTTGACATGAAAGGTAAATTTGGTATTTTATAAAGAATTTGGTATGATATCATCTCTTTTCCGTTTGTCAATAACGTTTATTAACGGTGGGGAATTTGAATGAGACGAACGTATTAACTAAGAGGGAGTATAATGAAATTTTAGATAATACAGGGAATATTATTGAAGATGGCATATTCTGCCGGGGATGATGATCCTATTTTAAAAGGTTGGAGAGACTTTGAAAAAGGAAGTCTACGGAGAGAAAGTGACAAATGACATGAAACATTTCTACTTTCCCAATTGAAAAGATCGGAAAGACTTGGAAAATGGAAGTCTATGGAGAGAGAGTTTCACAATTTATACTGTAAAAGATTAAAATTTTAATATTATATCCATAATTAAATAAAAATATAATAATGTATTTTATTTTTAAAAAATTAAGTACAAAACTTTTATTTAAAACACTTATACCAGTAATTAAGTATAAAACTCTGATAAAAATATTTGTTCAAAATACAACAAATATTTGATTTGGAATCATACAATGTGAGAATTTTTATTTTTTTTTATAATATAAACTTAGGATTATTTAGGACACAAAGTGTCATTCAGACGAAAAACAAAATATCAGAAAGAGGGGGGGGGGGGGGGGGGGGGGGCATCTGCTAGCCCAACCCGTTTCTAAATTCATTCCAACATGACATATGACACAAGTACAACGCCTGTTCAGTCCAACCCAAGCAACGCTAAGTCGAAAAATAAAAGATGAGAAACAATTTATTAAAACATGTTGTTTAATTTCTAAATTAATTGAACATAAAATAACTAACACAAAACCTAAATGAGAGAGAATTTTGGAGAATGATATCAGTCTCTCTCTTCTTTTTTTTTTTTTTTTTCTCATTTTGTTCCACACTTTGATTGGTCTGGCCCAAATTAGGCCCAATTCAAAAATATAGATCAAGCCCAACTCAAATATACAGGTCAAGGCACCAAGGATCAACTCTGACTATCTTGAGAGACTCAATTCATAACTGACACACGAAAAGATATCTATGGAATTGTCATGTCTATTACGAGAATACGTCATATCTACAGAACTGTCCACCTGTTACGAGCATAGTGCCTCAATAGGTTAAGAGACGCCTATAATTGTAAGTCACACATACACAAGGGAAGCATCACACAAATCTCAATACTCACACCTGAGCATTCTATATTCCTTGAATAATAAAATACTCAAGCCATCGTAACCTTTCATAGTGTAGTAGGTCATCCTAACCCGACCACTTTATTTGTATTTGCCTGTGTTAAGTCTCCTGCTCAATGACTACTTTAAATACTTGATAGATAGTGTATAAATTCATTTTGTGCATTATCACACTTCATTCAACCTAAGGAGTGTCTTTTATAAAGCAAACAACCGGGTGGAAAGCCAATAATTTAGCTTTCCAATCACCCTATTAAATACAAATATTTATTTATCACCATAATTCATTATTCCATCCGTTCCTAAATATCTGTCGTTTTATACAATTTTTTTTGTTCCATAATATCTATCATTTAATGAAACCAAAAGTATAATTAATATTTTTTCTTCCAAATTTATCCATAACTTTTTAATGCATTAGATTAGTTGGAGGCTAAGTGTCTTTTATATTCCTTTCCTTTCCAATACGTATTGAATAAGAGTATTTTAGTCTTGTGTAATTATTTTTTACTCATATTACAGCTATTTAATAACTTCCTTAATTCCTGTGCAAAAACCTTAAACGACAAATATTTAGGAATGAAGGGAGTATTATTCAGTATTATGCATAATTATTTGTGCACAATAGTCACCCACCTATATTTACAACACTCCGTCTTCACCTTATATTGAAATAACATTGGGGCTTGAAATTTAATTTTGATAAAATCATTGGTATCATAAGTTTTGTCTGGTTTAAAACCTTACTTAATAAAACTCAGTAAAAAAAAATTAACAAATGGAAAAAGGGTACATGTCTTGCCCTCTCGAATACATCCAGTCAAAATAATAATCGTCACACCCCATTTCGAAAGACTCTCCTTAATGTTTTAGAGATGGAAACATGACTCAACACACGACAATACGTCCCGTTAGCTTATATCATAATTTCATTATGATATGTTTAGATTGATACTAATTATGATGGAAAATGAAATATATTCATGTGCCACTCGTATTCAATTTTTATAACACAAACATGTCAAATTTACATTAGAAAATGATGTCATTGTAAAAATATCATCAAAGAGAGTTAGGGGTGGTCATCGGGATGCCTGGTACCATGCACGCAATCAAGCATAATGCCATGGGTGGGCTTTGTCAGTTGGCCCATAATATCAATATGGGCCAAATTTATTGGTCTTCATTTCTTGAACTAGTTTTCGTCAACAAATTGGAGCCCACCCTAAATAAAAAATAAAATATTAAAAATTATATCTAATTAACCGAAATGTCGTGAGTTTGAATTACAAAAATAAAATTTTAATATTAAGTACAATACAATTTAAGTCTCAAAAGATAAATAAAATGATTTTTACTTTTCGCGGTTGAGATCTTTTTAAATTTTACTTTAAAGTTAATTCGATAATTAATATTAATACTAAAAATTAAATAGAGAAAATAAGTCTCTAAGGGTGTATGTATTTGGGTGACTTTTTAAAAGTATTTTTAGGAGTTATAACTTTTTATAAATACTTTAAAAAAAATAAAAGTAGTGTTTGAAAACGCACCACCACCACTCCTAGCAAGCTACCACCACTACCTTACCACCTCCACCACCACCCCCATTGCCCTACCCCCACCCCCACCACCATCCCCATTACCACCACCATCGCCGTAGTCGCCACTACCACCATTGCTGCCACCCCCACCACCATCACTGTCGTTGCCAATATCAACACTACCACCACCCTATCGCCTCCATCACCACCACTACCAGCGTTGCTACTACCTTACCACCACCGTTGTCACCACCCTACCACCACCCCCCATCGTCCCACCATCATAACCATTACCACCACCATTACCCTACTTCTATTGCCCCACCGTTACCCCCACCATTATCACCATCGTCTGCTACAATTGTTATCCGCTACCACTACCCACCACAATCGTTATCGTATTCTTATGATTATTACCACTATTAGCATCATCCAACTACCACTGTCGCCCACCGTCAGCACCCACCACCATCATTGTTGTCTATCACCACTCACCGTCGCCCACCATCGCCGCCAACTACTATCACTCACCTCCATCGCACCTACCACCACCACTATTTGCCACGGCCCATCACGCTGTCATCCAAAAGCATCCATCGTTGTCCATTACCACCATTGTCACTGCCCAACACCACCGCTACAGCCACCGTCATCTCCCCACTACCACCATCATCATCACCCATGGCTGCCACTATTACCATTGTCACCTAAAACTCACCACCACAATCACTGTTGCCACCCACGGTTGTCATCATCACCATAGTCGTCATTACCAT